GATTCGGGGGGAAATGAATTAGGATGCAGCACGCTCCGGCCGGCCCTCCTCCTTCCAACCCTTCTCTCTCACCATCCCACTTCCGTGTCCCGCTCGCTCCTGGGTACAATGCAACACCCTGTGCTCCTTCCGTTAAGCACCGTAGTTAGACCAGACCAAGACAGGGTGGGTGTAGACATGGGGCGTAGCTAGGCCGGTCTTGGTTCTGGTTAAACTACTTCACCGCACGCAGTCGTGCGGACGGTTTGTCATAAGGCGCCGTGGTGAGAGTCGGTAGGCACACCCGCACGCACGCCTGCATGCAGTGCGGTATAACTATAACTGCGGCGCGAGTTTTAAACGTCGGGGAGACGTCGTGAGGACGGTGGTGGTCTCCGTGGTCCTGCCCTCGCCGTCTCCGCCGAGCAGCAGCAGCGGCAACAGTGTTATCTCGACGCGAGTTCGCGAGGCCACGCGCGACGGCGGCGCGGCGGCCGGCGGCTTCCCGGACCCAGCGGGACGCGTGTTCGTTCGCCGCGCCTCCCGAGCAGTACGTTCTACTGCAGCGGACCTACCCTGGGCGGACTGTTCAGAAAGCTCATAGTCTTTAGGGAGGATACAAATATAATGGGGTCCCAAAGAGATCAGAAAGGTCATGTGAGTCGTTAGGGACACCATGATATTTGTACCTCGGGGTAGAAAATTTCTATGATATTTAATATCATGGAGTCGACACGGACGCCAACAACGACCGTCCTCATCCTTTTTGTACCCCAAATTATTTGTATCTCCCTGCACAGCCCACGCGATTTCTGAACACCCACCAGATGGGTGGTGTTGCAACAAGCAGAGCAGGCCGCGCACTTTACCGCCGTTTTGTTGTAGGGCCGTCCCTGAAGACAACGGCCTGGCTCGGCGAGGCAGGCGGTGCGCCCGGTGCGGTGCGCGGCCCGCGGCGCCGTCTTTGTAGACGGGGCGGCGGGCAGGACGAGGCAGACGGAGCGGAACGAGGGGGGGAGGGAGGCAGGCAGCCCTCGGAATGTGATTCCGTCCGGGGCCACAAGCCACAGACCGGAGTAGAGGAAGGACGACGCGGCTGCTCGTCTTCAGAAGGGAGGCGTTATGGCGCGTTATGGTCGTGGTTGTAAAGTACATACACAACAATTATTGTTTCTCTTTGGTATTGTGCACCACCGCAGGGTGGTTGCCCTTCTCGCCCAGGGTTTCGGACATGGAGTACAAGTAAATGCGTCTAGCGAGGTGTTTTCAAAATGTTGTCAGAAATGGAAGTGAAATAGTTGAAAACAAAATTTCCATTTTTTTTTCCTGTTTACGTCTCTAAGTGCAAAGCGGGCTGGCCGCAGAGGGCGGCAGCAGCCAGCGCCACCGGTCCTCTTAGGTGGCATTGTGCAGGGATGCAAATGAAACGGCGATGGCCAGGAACAATGGCGAAGAAATGAGGCCAGATCCTCTCCTCGGCCCCCGGCCGGGTCGGGCGCCCCGCCCCGCCCCGCCTTGTCACTCCCACTGCCGGGCTCCGCAGTGCTCCGCACGGCTTGCTTTGAGCGGGCGGGAGAGACGAGGGCAGAAGTGTGGCCCCGCCACTTTGCGCGTGCACCGCAACAAAAGCCTCCCTCCCTCCCTCCCTCCCTCCCTCGCTATGTCCGTCTCTCTGCTCGGTTCATCCTCGCCCCCGCACAACCCCTTTCGCAGTGACGTCTCTCCGACCACTCCAAAACGTCTCCCAGCGCGGCATTCCGTTCCGCGTACTGCTTCACCGTTTCGACCGGTCATTCCGTGTCGCGCTTGTTCGACGGTAAGCCATACGCCACACACGATGTTTCCCGCCACCCCCCGCGCCCGGGGCGCTCCTCTGGCTTCTGTTTTTGTCTAATTATACCACGGTAATTTCTTTTCCCCTTGCTCACGCGCTTCTGCTCCCCGACACATTTTTCTCGAAAGTTGCACTCGGAACATTCATCCCTATCTCTGGAGGAAAAAATGAACTCTGGCAAAGTCCGTCCCTCCCCCCTCCCCTACCGTGATGCTGCTCGTGCTAATTCGCGCCGCCAGTTTAAAGCGCCCGCGTGATCTCGCAAGTCATGATAAATACTTTGGGGGGGGGGGGGGTGACACGAGCGATACCGAGGGTACTGTTAGTGGCAGGGCATAGGAGCGGGCCGGGTCGCGGTCATCGCTCTCCCCTGTTGGCTGGAGCACCGCGGTAGCAGCGGTAACAGCGGTAGCAGCGGTAGCAGCGGTAGCAGCGGTAGCAGCAGCGGTTTGGTCTCGACTCTCCTCCAGACGACTGAAACGCTCAACGGCGGCGGCGGACGCGGCACGGCGGACAGCTGCTGGCACGGTATAGGACCGGCGATTACTTTTGTGGACATTCGCCCCACTACATCATTCCGTTTTGAAAAATATTGCTGGCTTTCTTATCTTGTCTTGACAGTTTCTTACGTAATCGAGTATAGGCAACCCACCCGATGCGGTACGTAAGACGCAAGGCCTGTAAACCTTAAACTTGTACAACGTGGCTATCCCCCCCCCCCCGACCGGGGAAGGAAAGCCGCGCCGCCGGTGTGTCTCCCTCTCAACTTATCACACCATACCCCACGCAGTAGCGGTCAGGAGGAGAACACGGGGAGCATTTCAGTTATAATGAGAGCGAAAAAAAACAACAGGGACGTTAATGATTTTGAGTGGATCTCGGCGTCTATCCGCGCCATTAGGAGCTATAGGGGCAGAACGTCATGAGCTAGCCAGGCCTCCCCCCCCCCCCTCCTCGCCAACGCTTCCCGCGCTTTTAGCGGGACGAGCCCCCATTTCTCCGGACCGCGCGGCCGAATCACGCCGCTCCTTTCTTCTCCGCAGAACGCATTTCTCTCTCTCTCTCTCTCTCTCTCTCTCTCGTTCCTTTGCTCACCCTCTCTCCTCCTCGCCGACCTGGCTCGCCCCACTCGTCATCGCGTTACCATTCCTTTTCGAAAATTCTGAGCGAGCTTCCATCAACGCGCCCTCCTCCTCATTCTCCCCAAGGGCAGCGCTTAAACCAGCTTAAACGGTCGTTTCAAGCCGCCACGTCTGCCTGGCCCTGGCCGCCTGGCAGGCCTCCTACTCTGGCCGACGTGCTCGCGTCCAACACGACCCTTCTCTCCTTGTCCTCCAGGCAGAGGCGTCAGAGAGGCGCTTTCACCCCGACAAACCACGGTTAAGTATCCCCGACATGCAAAAAGATGTGTTCTGTCAGTCCATCTCTAATGTTTACCTAGGCATCCGCACCCATGCATGCGGTACCGTATAGCTACGAAAGTGCGCGGCGTGAATCTGAATCAGCCACCTGGTATGTTACGATCTAAGGTCAAAAGAAGGCATTTATGTCAGCCAAACTGTCACTCTGACAGTCCCCAACATTTTCAGAGCACTCTCTTTTGGGGGTCTTTGTCAAGTCTACAGCAGTGGTCGTCTTCGGATCCTTTTGGCAAGGGGTGGGGCGCGGGCGCCGCGCCGCAAGGAGCAGGTCAACACGGCCGCGGCACCTCCTCCCCCAGCGCGTCGTCTTGGGCGCGCGGCTGGCGTTGCGTTTTTGGACACATTATTTATTTTGCCGTCCCGGCAACACCTTCATTTATCACGCGGGAATCATTAATAAACTAATCAATCATTTAACCGGCTTCATCGCGCCTCCCCCTCCCTCCTCCTTCCACCCCAACTCTCCTTCGCCAGCGGCGGCGGCGGCACCGGGGAGGGAAGGGGGGGGGGTGCCAATCACCCTTAGCGGTGGTGGTGGTGGTGGCGTGGCCGAGGTTGGGGCCGACGAGACCCGAAGCAAGTCGCGTCTCGATTGTTTCCACTCGCGCTCTTTCCTATCGAAAGTGTTGCGCGCAGCGTGTGCGACAAGGACAACAACAACAACAATCGCTTTTTGCAAAGTCGGTTGCTACGGCCGCGGCGGCTCGGGCCGAACCAAACAAACTACGCCGCGGCGACAACAGTCGAGGCGAGAGCTGCGCGGCGGGCAGACGCGACGGACGAGCAGCAGCTGACCCCACATCGTCATGAGGGAGATCGTGCACATACAGAGCGGCCAGTGCGGCAACCAGATCGGCGCCAAGGTGAGTGGGACTGTCGTTCAACGTGTGACTGTCGGTCAGTGAGACGGGTTCGTGTGACTGTCGTTGTGACGTACAATGTGACGGACAGTGTAACTTATTTCAGTGTAACCGAGCGTCAGTGAAGGGACCGTGGTGGTGATGGGGTCAAAATAAAAAGCGTCATACATACATTTTCGAAAAAAGCAATGTGAGCTCAACAGGGACACAAAGCAGAGTGTGCGGCTGCTCTTTGGATCGAGTGCGCGAGAGCTTGTCGGAGTGGCTTTCTTTTGCAAGGCGTGTACGAAAGGGCGCGCAGGGCAGAGAAGTGGGCCGATTACAACAAGGGTTGGGTTGGGGAGAGGGGGGAGGGCAGGGGCAGGTCGCATTCTCTACATCAACCTCTCCTCCGCCGACGCTGTTCACTGTTCTCCTCCTCCTCCTCCTCCTCCGTCTCCGTCCTTTACAAGACCCAGCAGCCCGGCCCGCGCGTTCGGAAAACTCAAACACTCGACTCTGCCATTGTTGTGCCCCGGCTTGACACGGCGGAGAGGAGAGTGAGTGGTGGAGCTGGGGCTGCGAGGCGAGCCGCCCCCGCGAGCCGTGCGCCATCTAGCGGGGGGCGCGAGAACCGAGCCAAACCGAATCGGACAGGGCCGCGGCCGCACTTTTCGGGGGCTTTCGGGGGCGAGTGAAACCGCACGTCAAGAGGAAAGGTCCGACGGGTCCGACAGGGTAGCGGCAGCGCGGAGCTAGCGCCCGACCTGGTCGTTTTCCTTGTAATTCCGTCGTCGTGCTGCTGCTGACGCAGGCAGGGCCAGGGGGTGGTAATGAATAGGTCTCCCAGCGCCGCCGGCCGCCAGCGCGCGCGCTCGCTCAACACAACCCGGCGCACACGTCGAGTGAAAGACAACATAGCGAGTGAACTCAACATTTTTGAGCGTGTTTGTTGGTTTTAATGTTTACTTGGTTTCTCTAAAATGGACAAATTTTTCCGCTGCCGCCAGTTCTGGGAGGTCATCTCGGACGAGCACGGCATCGACCCCACCGGGACGTACCACGGCGACTCGGACCTCCAGCTCGAGCGCATCAACGTGTACTACAATGAGGCCACGGGTGAGTAAGCGCCGCTACAGCGTCACACACAAAGGGGTCGAGCCGGGGTCCGCACTCCGCAGGGTGGGGCTGACCGCGCGGCTGGGTCGGGCCACTTCCGAGCGGTCCTTTTCTGTAAATTCATGCAAACATCAGGTTTTCTATTTTTCTTGGTTTTTTTACGATTTCTTATCATTTTTTCTGATAGTTTTCTAATTTTTCTAATGTTTTTCTGACGGTTTCTCTGTTTTTCTCTGCCTTTCTCCCAGGCGGCAAGTACGTGCCGCGCGCGCTCATGGTGGACCTGGAGCCCGGCACGCTGGACTCGGTGCGGTCCGGGCCGTTCGGCCAGATCTTCCGGCCGGACAACTTCATCTTCGGCCAGAGCGGCGCGGGCAACAACTGGGCCAAGGGCCACTACACGGAGGGCGCCGAGCTGATGGAGTCTGTGCTGGACGTGCTGCGCAAGGAGGCCGAGGGCTGCGACTGCCTACAGGTACCGGATTGTAAAGCCCAACATTTTCCGCCAAATTTTTTGAATTTTTTCAGAAAAAATAATTGGAAACATTTGAAACTTTTTCAGAAAAAAAAATGGAAAAAAATCGTCCAGAAAAATTGATAAAAATCTTTCCTTCAGGGCTTCCAGATGACGCACTCGCTTGGCGGCGGCACCGGCTCGGGCATGGGCACGCTCATCATCAGCAAGATCCGCGAGGAGTACCCCGACCGGATCATGGCCACGTTCAGCATCGTGCCCAGCCCCAAGGTCTCGGACACGGTCGTGGAGCCGTACAACGCGACGCTCTCGGTGCACCAGCTGGTCGAGAACACGGACGAGACGTTCTGCATCGACAACGAGGCCCTGTACGACATCTGCTTCCGCACGCTCAAGCTGACCACGCCGACGTACGGCGACCTGAACCACCTCGTGTCCGCCACCATGTCCGGCGTCACCACCTGCCTCCGCTTCCCCGGCCAGCTCAACGCGGACCTGCGCAAGCTCGCCGTCAACATGGTGCCCTTCCCGCGCCTGCACTTCTTCCTGCCGGGGTTCGCCCCGCTCACGTCCCGGGGCAGCCAGCAGTACCGCGCCATCACCGTGCCCGAGCTCACCCAGCAGCTGTTCGACAGCAAGAACATGATGGCGGCCTGCGACCCGCGCCACGGCCGCTACCTCACCGTGGCCGCCATCTTCAGGGGCAGGATGTCCATGAAGGTGAGGAGAACATTCCGACTAAGTTGCGTGTGTCTGATTTCCCTCCGAGGCCGCTGAACGGACACTCCTCTCTCTCTTTCCCTAGGAGGTCGACGAGCAGATGCTCAACATTCAGCTCAAGAACAGCTCGTACTTCATCGAGTGGGTGCCGAACAACGTCAAGACGGCCGTCTGCGACATCCCGCCCCGGGGACTCAAGATGTCGGCCACCTTCATCGGCAACTCGACCGCCATCATGGAGCTGTTCTACCGCGTGTCGGAGCAGTTCACCGCCATGTTCAGGAGGAAGGCGTTCCTGCACTGGTGAGTTAAACAGAGTGAGACTTAATCTTGTTCCGGTTTAAGATTACAGATTATTATTGTTTGTGATAACTGTGCAATTTGTACATATTGCTAATTAAACTTGCATTTGTGTGCCAATTTTCGTGGTGCATTCAAAAGTAACGTCGGAACGTACCTAGATATTAATTGTTAATTTTGTTTGAAATGGCCATTACGTTGTTTGTTTTTGTTGTTGTTTTCTTCAGTGTTAATATTTTGGGGAGAATTTTTAATTGATATCGTCGTTCTCCAGGTACACGGGGGAGGGCATGGACGAGATGGAGTTCACCGAGGCCGAGTCCAACCTGAATGACCTGGTCGCCGAGTACCAGCAGTACCAGGAAGCCTCGGCGGAAACCTACGACACGGAGGAGGAGGAGGAAGAAGAAGAGTAGAAGTGAGGGTTGAGTCAGCTTCCGTTTAATGCTACCATTCAATCTTGTGATATTAAGTGTGTCAATTTAGTATGGTTTGTAAGAGTAACGTGATACTAGAACTAGATCGCTTAGCCACTTCTCTTTTTAGAAAAGAGAAAAGATTATTTTAACGTTTTTAATAAGCCAGGTTTTAAGATTTCACAGTTGTAAGACAAACGTTCGCGTAAGTCCATTTCATTTGTTATGGTTGTGTTTTTTTCACTCCGCCCTTCTTGTACGTTTCGCGGACTGCCCCGGCGGTTCACGTCACTTGAATAATTTTGTAGGCCTAAGTTGAACAATTCCCTGTAACTTTTTTGTTGTGTGTACTTTGCTCCCCGTGTGTTCGGGGCTGGTCCGCCCGGCCCCGCCCGGCCCCGCCCGGCTCCTGCCATTGTGTCTTTAATAAAGTAAAACCAGCCTCGCATGTTGGTCTTATTTTCTGGTTGCTTTTCTCCGCGCCGCTGCAAATATTGGCTCAAGAGAAAATTGCCCCTCTCGCAAGGAGTCGAGAGAGAGAGAGTGAGAGAAGGAGAGCGAGAGAGCTGGAGAGGGAGCTGGAGAGGCGGTGCGAGCGAGAGGCAGAGAGTCGCTCATTCTACTGGAATTGGTGAAAACTTCCTCGTGGGGAGTTGTCATTTATTATCCACCCGCACATTAGCCGGGGACGAAAGGGGGGGGGGGGCGCCGAATTCACCGACAATCCGGGCCTCTTAGTCTCGGATGAAATGAATGGATTTAATGCGGAGGAAAGGGAGAGAGAGAGAGCCAGCAAGAGAGGGGAGAGAGACCTTCTTGCCTGCAGCGGTGGATGCCGTGCCGCTCCGCGGAAGGAGAGCCTTTGCCGGCGAGCAAATGCAATTCATGCACCGAGTAATTGTCTCACGGGCAAGAAGTAAGGAGGGGAAGGGGGAGGAATTCGGAAGTGGACTTTAGGCTTCGGGAGGTTATAGTCGAGGGGCTGATCAAACTGCGGGCCTGCCACGCCACGCCACGCGGCCCAAAACCTTATTATTTGAGCGGCTTATAGGTTACATGAATTAGGGAAGTGGGGCGGAGGAGGGGGAGAGGTTGGTGGTGAGCCTGTGGGGCTGCAGGCTGCGGGGCGGGGTGCGGGGGCCCCGGGTAGGCAACCCGGTCGCGTCGCGCGCCCCGCGGGCTGGCCTACCCTCTCGTCCCCAGGCGCCCGCGCGGCGTGCCTTGCCTGCCGTGCCTGCTCAGTGGCGTCGTGGTTGTTGGAGAGGGGCAGGCGACGAAGGCGTGTCGGACAACGTTCAAGAGGATCGGTGAGTTGGCCACGTATCTGTCATCCCTCTCGCACTTCATGGCCGCTGTTGCTGCTGCTACCCCACCCCCCTCGCACGACAAGCGCGCCGACGCACAAGTCGGCGCGCGGGCTGGAGCAGCCGGAGCCGGGAGGGGCGGCGGGAGTCTGCAGCTCCGTCATTGTCGTCGTCATGAGAATAAAAACAAACAAGCCAACAAATTATCCCGCAGATAATGTTGAGTAAACAAAACGCCTG